CTTTTTAGTGAGTCCAATCATAAACAAATCTGTGCAATAAACAGTGGAGAAAATAAGAGTTCCAAGCACATAGCATCTATAAAGAACTGCAGATGGCTCAAGTAATTTTTTCAGAATGTTTATACACATTTGCAACTTTTCTATGCTCTCCAGCAACTTCATGCTGAGAGCTCTATTTGCACATCCGTGAAGAATTAGCTGGATTTTGGCTTGTAATATTTTAGATTACCTTAACATGTGTAGTTCTAAATATCTGGCATTCCTTTTAAAGTTGCTATATCATAGATACGGTTTTTTTTCTTGTTCTCAATATGTGTATTATACCTTTTAAAGACTGTTTTCAGAGAGAGATGCAAGTTTTGTCTAAAGCTCATTTAATTACACACATACACATGTCACCTTGTACACAATTTGGCAAAGCAAGTTTAATTGGGAACCAAAACAACTTTCAGTCATGTGTAAACTATATTAATTATAAAGCATTGAAACTTAATGAAACATTTAAAATATTATTGGAAATGTTCATTTGGTTGTTCCTTCATATCTGTTTGTCTTTTTATATGAAAAAAAAAACCACAAGGGCAAAAAGAAAGCTCCTCTCTTGTTGACATGACTGAAAAAGCAAAGATGGGTCTTCTGTGAAATTTTTTTGTTGCTTAATAAATGCAAGAATGAAGTTTTATAAGTGATATTCTGGGTTCAATAACTTTTATTTTTGCCGGCAAACACCGAGCATATTTTTAAAAGATTTCATTAATTTACTTGAGAGTTACACTTACAGACAGAGAGAGGGAGAGACAGAGAGAAAGGTCTTCTATCTGTTGGTTCACTCCCCAAATGGCCACAATGGCCAGAGCTGGGCCAATCCTGAGCTAGGAGGCAGGATATTATTCTGGGTCTCCCATGTGGGTGTGGGGGCCCAAAAAATGAGGCCATTTTCCACTGCTTTCTCAGGTCATAAGCAGAGAGCTGGGTCAGAAGCAGAGCAGCTGGGATTTGAACTGGTGCCCGTATGTGATGCTGGTGCCACAGGCAGAAGTTCAGCCCACTGTGCCACAGTGCTAGCCCAAGACAAAACAGGCCGGCGCCGCGGCTCACTAGGCTAATCCTCCGCCTAGCGGCGCCGGCACACCGGGTTCTAGTCCCGGTCGGGGCGCCGGATTCTGTCCCGGTTGCCCCTCTTCCAGGCCAGCCCTCTGCTGTGGCCAGGGAGTGCAGTGGAGGATGGCCCAGGTGCTTGGGCCCTGCACCCCATGGGAGACCAGGAAAAAGCACCTGACTCCTGGCTCCTGCCATCGGATCAGCGCGGTGCGCCGGCCGCAGCGCGCCGGCCGCGGCGGCCATTGGAGGGTGAACCAACGGCAAAGGAAGACCTTTCTCTCTGTCTCTCTCTCTCACTGTCCACTCTGCCTGTCAAAAAAAAAAATAAAAATAAAAAATAAAAAGACAAAACAGCATTAACTCATCAAGACAATTAAAATTTTAGTCAAGGAGCCTGCACCATGAGGCAGTAGATTAATCCTCCGCCTGTGGCGCCGGCATCCCATGTGGGCTCCAGTTTGTGTCCTGGCTGCTCCTCTTCCAATCCAGCTCTCTGTTGTGACCTGGGAAAGCAGTGGAGGATTGCCAAGTCCTTGGGCCCTTGCACATGTGTGGGAAACCAGGAAGAAGCACCTGGCTCCTGGCTTCGGAACGGCGCAGCTCCGGCCAATGTGGCCTTTTGGAGAGTGAACCAATGGAAGGAAGACCTTTCTCTCTGTCTCTCCCTCTCACTGTCTGTAACTCTACCTCTCAAATAAATAAATGAAATCTTTAAAAAAAGAAATAACAGTTAGTTTTTATTAGCTTATTTCATATTTTAGTTACTCTCCTAGTTTACAAAATAGTCCTAAACTAAAACCCCTATCAAACAAAGAGAAAATTGACTTTTGAAAATAGAAAACACAGCAACAAATAAATAATCTCTCCTGGACCTAAATGTACATTGGTTCTTCATTAAAACATTTTATGAACAAGATAATAGCACCTGATTTTATAAATATTATTAAGCTTACCATGAATTTCAGTTTTATTTTAAAGCTATTTTGGAATTTGTCTCTGAAACAAATGTTTTAAAATGTTTTATCTCATGTTATATCTTAAATTATTTGTTTTCTAAGTTTTAGTGATGAATATTTCAAACATCTGAATATTATTTTCACTCACTGGACTCTTCATCTGAATAAAAGAACTATTTATTTTTTATCACATGATTCATTTCCATCAAAAGATGTTAGAATCAAAAAATATTTATACCTGGAAGAATCCTTCAATACATTTTTTTATTATGCCTGAGTAAGCTTAAAGTCTCTGTCCACACTCTTACAGTTCCTGAATGGCACAGTGAGGAAAAGAGCATCCATATAAATCCAAAAGTCCAACACCTTGGAAATAGTCCACAATGGCAAACACACACAGACTCTGAGCTCTTCACGCAAAAGAATTGCAGTCAAATCCGAATTACCCCCACCAAAGAAAGTATATGTATAACAGGACAGTTATTTCCAAAATATTTTGCTTTAGAGAACAGTTGAATTAATTTAGAGGCAATTAACATAATTATGTGTTACTAGGCAAATATTAAAATTACTTCACGTCCCTTGAATAAACAATGTCTGATGATAATGAAAATAATTGAAGAGTAGGGTTGACAGTAGTTGACACTTTTTTTTTTCAATTTTAAGATGACTTCAGGGGCCGGCGCTGTGGCGCAGTGGGTAAAGCTGCCCCTTACAGTGCTAGCATCCACATGGACACTGGTTCAAGTCCCAGCTGCTCCTCTTCCCATCCAGCTCTCTGCTATGGTCTGGGAAGGTAGTAGAAGATGGCCCAAGTGTGTGGGCCCCTGCACCTATGTGGGAGAGTAGGAAGAAGCTCCTGGCTCCTCGATTCAGATCAGCCCAGCTCCAGCCATTGTGGCCAACTGGGGAGTGAAACAGCAGATGGAAGACCTCTCTCTTTCTCTCTGCCTTTCCTTCTCTCTCTGTGTAACTCTGGCTTTCAAATAAATAAATAAATCTTTTTAAAAAGATGACTTCAATAAAATATAAAATCCCAGGTTATTAATGCAAATTGAAAGTTATAATTGAAATAACTAAAAGGTACCAATGAAACCAGAAAAAAATGTAATCATGTATATTATTAAAATGTTTTATGTTAAAACTTAGTCTAAACTTAAAAGTTTAGACTCCCAGACTTCTTCACCTTTTTCTTTCAATGTAAAAAATATTGCAGCAGGTACTAGCAATGTTGTTGCCACAATAATCTGAAAAAGTAAGACTAATGGCATAATATCAGTTAATATTTAGATAAAGATGAACATATTTTTTATTCTCTTTTAAAGATGTATTTACCTATTTGAAAGGCAGAGTTACAGAGAGAGAGAGAGAGATCTTCCAAATGCACATTCCCTTCCCAAATGGCCACAACAGATAGCTCTGGGGCCAGGCCAAAGCCAGAAGCCAGGAGCATTTTCAGGGTCTCCCATGAGGGTAGTAAGGGCCCAAGCAATTGGGCCATCTTCCACTGCTTTCCTAGGTGCCTTAGCAGAGAGCTGGATAGATAAGAGAGCAGCCAGGACACAAACTGGTACCCATGTGGGATGCCGGCATCACAGGTGGAGGCTTAACCTTAGTATTTTTTGTAAGAAAAATCAAATGTATTTCTTAAAAGCTTATTTAAAGCTATTTTATCAACAAAACCTAATTCCTTAAACTCTTAAAACAGAAAATATCATATGTATATTTTGTGACACACTCACTTTTAGTTTTTCCATTTCAATTTAATAACAATTTTAAATTAGGGCCAAAAATCATCCCAAGGCTGATCTTTATCCTCTAGTTTTGCATGCAAGTGGCCAAGAGTGTTGTCCTATCTATTACACCACAGCCTGTGCTTGTATAGTCCTGCCCCACCTTATTCCATTGAGCTGATGGGGTCTGGACCACTCACTAGTGTGTTCCCAGCAGGTTAACAAGGTCCTGTCTGGTCACTTGGGATTTTGTAAGTGAGAAGCAGAGAGAGAGAAGAAAATGAATGTGTCTTTAGTCTTTGACCAGCTCCACCAACCCAGAAACACCAGTATAGTCACACGTTTATTTTTACAATCAATTGTTCACCAATTCACATTTCTGGTTGGCACAGAAACCGATCAATCTCTCCCCTTGGTGAAAGAATCACCAGGACTCAGTAGTTTGGGGGAGAGGGGAGAAGGATGGCACAGAGGCCAACATGGGTCTGCACCTGCATAGCTGTGTCTTCGCTGGTCACACTCAGTCGATTACACTGCCAAGGAGCATCTGGGGCCTCAGGATGCCTGATGGTGCTCTAGGAGTGATGCCCCAAGCACAGGTCCCCAGGCTACACTTCTCTACCTTCTCACATGATGTTTGCCCACTGTTACTGAGATGACAGCACTGCCCAAAGCTGGCTGTGTTGGGACAGGCTTCCAGCCTCAGGGGAAATCTGGGCTTATGCCAGCTCTTCTTCATCCCTGCCTCCACCGTTGCCTTGAGCCCAAACACTGGGCTCTCCCCTTCCCCACAGATATGCTTTTGGGAGCCTGGGGCCACCTTCCCTGTGCCAGCAGGCCTCTGTGAAAACATTTCTACTCGGGGCCGGCACAGTGGCATAGCTGGTCAAGCTGCAGCCTGCAGCTCAGATGCAGTCCCAGCTGCTCCACTTCTGCTCCAGCTCCCTGCTGATGTGCCTGGGAAAGCAGCAGAAAATGGCCCATGTGCTTGGGCCCCTGCACCCACATGGGAGACCCAGATAGAGCTCCTGGTTCCTACCTTTGGGTCAGTGCAGCTGTGGCCATTGCTGCCAACTGGGGAGTGAACCAACGGATGGAAGATATCTCTCTCTCTCTCTCTCTCTCTCTCTCTCTGCTTCTGTATGTGTGTATATAACACTGCCTTTCAAATAAATAAATACTTTATTTACCTTCCCACCATGCTTCTCACCTTCTTGCAGGAAGGACCCTCAGCAGTGCCAGTTATAGATTAGCAGATTCTACAAAAAAAAAAAAAAAAAAAAAAAGATTAATGCATCCCATGGAAAGAGATCCTACTCTTTCAGGCATCAAGCCAATTAACAATGTTGGCCACATTAGGGGGGATTATTTATTTTTTTAAATATTTGTTTGAAAGACAGAATTACAGAGAGAGGAGAAACAGAGAGAGAGAGATCTTCCATCTGCTGGTTCACTCCCCAGATGGCCACAACAGACAGTGCTGGGCCAGGTGGAAGCCAGGAACTAGGAGCTTCTTCTGGGATTCCACATGGGTGTAGGGGCCCAAGCACATGAGCCATCTTCTGCTTCTTTCCCAGCTGCATTAGCAGGAAGCTGGATCATAAGTGGAGCAGCCAGGACTCGAACCAACGCCCATATGGGATGCCAGTGCTGCAAACATTGATATTACCAGCTATACTACAACTGCAGCAAAAAAGACCTTTCTCTCTGTCTCTCTGTCTCTCTCTCTCACTGTCCACTTCTGCCTGTCAAACAAATAAAAATAAATAAATAAATAAAAAGTATATGTGTGGGGATGACACTGGTGCAGTGGGTTAAAGCCCTGGTCTGAAGCGCTGGCATCCCATATGGGCGCCAGTTCGAGCCCAGGCTGCTCCACTTCCAATCTGGCTCTCTGCTATGGCTTGGGAAAGCAGAAGAAGATGGCCCAACTCCTTGGGCCCCTGCACCCATGTGGGAGAACTGGAAGAAGCTCCTGACTCCTGGCTTCGGATCCCAGCCTTTGCAGCCATCTGGGGAGTGAAACAGCGAATGGAAGACCTCTCTCTCTGTCTCTACCTCTCTCTGTAATTCTGTCTTTCAAACAAATAAATCTTTTAAAAAAAAGTATATGTGTTACATAACAAGTCAGATGTAGTCAACAGCAAAGCCTTTCCATAGAAGATTCACCTGTGCCCACTTCCTTCTGTGACAAGGGAGGCAGCCAGGGCCGGGATATTTGAAGTGAATAAGAGACCATTTTGAATGAAAAACAGAAAAAACAGTTAAGAAGTCCTAAAAGAAAACGCTTTAAAAGTATAGCATAGTCATTTGCAAACCTCTGAAGAGATCAGAAGCATTAAAGAGCGAACCAAAGGTTAATTTTGTAACTAAGCTTTGGAGAAGGTAGACTCTAGTTCATGTAGTTTGCACAAACACTGCTTGCTTTTTGTTGTCATTGCTTTGGTCAGTGGCTTTCTCAAAGTTCGATATATATACACACATATACATACAGACACACATATTCCTATCTTTATGTACTGGAGTAAATGAAACAAGTTACCCCACTCTTAGATCTCTGGCTCCAGTGTCTGTTTACTGTCCTGGTGCTGACACACTACATTTCAAGGTAGATGTCTTCATTAATTTATACTGCAGTGGCCGGCGCCACGGCACAATAGACTAATCCTCCGCCTGCGGCTCCAGCACCCCAGGTTCTAGACCCAGTCAGGGTGCCGGATTCTGTCCCAGTTGCTCCTCTTCCAGTCCAGCTCTCTGCTGTGGCCCGGGAATGCAGTGGAGGATGGCCCAGGTCCTTGGGCCCTGCGCCCACATGGGAGACCAGGAGAAGCACCTGGCTTCTGGCTTCGGATCAGCGCTGTGTGCCGGCCACAGCGCACCGGCCGCAGCGGCCATGGGGGGTGAACCAACCGCAAAAGGAAGACCTTTCTCCCTGTCTCTCTCTCTCTCTCATTGTCCACTCTGCCTGTCAAGAAAAATTTATACTGCAGTAATGACTATCAAGCACTCATCAGTTCTAAGAAGAAAGATCTTCATATTCCTGGCAGCATTCTGTAATTTGCTTTAACATTGAGTCAGAATGATTCTTTTCTTTTTATTGTGATGTTGTCTTAGTCATTTGATAATGGTCAAATTTAGGTTCTCCTTCAAAAGCTTACCTATTGTTTGGGAAGTCATTCAGCATAAATAAATTCTCACCAGATTTGGATTTTGGTCACCCAAGTCTGACAGTAACCGAATGGCCAAGTCTGCCAACAATTTCTCTGCTCTTTTTGTTAATGACCAAGTGCCCCCTTTGGTAAATAACTTGGTTTTCGAACAGAGCCATGCCTCTCAGTGCCAGAAAATCCCAAATCAGGTTGATTTCATTTGTTAATGTTTTCCTCATATGACTGGAGTCTGTTGATTCACTCCCCACACGCCTACAACAGCCAGGGCTGAGCAAGTTGAAGCCAGGAGTCAGGAACTCAATCTGGGTCTCCCATGTTGGTAGCTGGAGATCCAGTTCCTTGAGCACTTCCCTGCTGACCCCCAGGGTATGCTTTAACAGGAAGCTGTAGTCAGGAGAGCCAGGACTCTAACCCAAGTACTCAAGATGGGGTGCCGGCATTCCAACAGGCGTTTTATCCACCATCCCTGTCCTGATTTTATGGAAAGGTTTTCTTATAATGTTCTTCTGGAAAGGGGTAGAAGAGTAAATTAAATATTTAATATGATCTGTCCATAGAAGACTTTGATGCTTTATTACTAATGATACTATGATTTTTATGCAATTGACACAGGGGAAAAACAAGTCATTTAATGTGATAAAATCAGGTCAAAAATGAAAAAGCCAGTATGAATTGAATTAAAAAAGGTTTTACTAATATGCATTATTCTGTGGCATCTAAAAAGAATTTACATTTAAATTTAGTGTGATTTAGTCAGCAAATAAAAAAGCAATCAGCATTCCGTGAAAGAATAAAATTGAAAATTTAGATACATGTTTCTTATAACGATCTCTTATACATAATATAAATTCTCTCTTGAGCACCTTATGAAAATGACACTGTGACACTGCAGGTTCTGTACAGTGGTGGGAACAGGTTATTACTTCCTTGCAATGATGACCCGACACCAAAAGTAGCCATTTTAAATGTTAGCTTAACGTTTGTGAACTTTAAGGCATGTTTAAAATAATTTCTAACAGAAAATCCAGCATACAGACAGAGCTCTCTTGTACTGCTGGTTCACGCCCCTACATGCCCACAATAGCCAGGGCTGGCCGGACCGAAGCCTGGAGCTGGGAACTCAATCAGATGTCTCACGAGAGTAGTTGGAACCCAAGCATTTGAGGCATTATCTGCTTTGCCTCTTATGCTGCAAGTTAGCAGGAAGCTAAAATCGGGAGTGGAGATGGGACTCAAACCGAGACACTCCAGTGTGGGATGTGGCACCTCAACTGCTATGCCCAACTCCTGCCCCTGAAAGATTTTTGAACCGTTCTTTTCCCAGTCATGGAAATGAGTATTGGCTTAATAATAGTAAGCCTTTAAAAATTATAACAATGTGATGTAACATGGATGATGTGATGTGACCACCTATTTAAGATCACTAGGTCACAGGGCCAGCACTGTGGTACAGTAAGTTAATCCTCCACCTGCTGTGCCAGCATCCCATGTGAGCGCCAGCACTAGTCCCAGCTTCTCCTCTTCTAATCCAGCTCTCTGCTATGGCCTGGGAAAGCTGTAGAAGATGGCCCAAGTCATTGGGCCCCTGCACCTGCATAGGAAACCTGGAGGAGGCTCCTGGCTTCAGATCAGCTCAGGTCTGGCCATTGTGGCCATTTGGGGAGTGAACCAGTGGATGGAAGACCTTTCTCTCTGTCTCTCCCTCTCTATCTGTGAATCTATGACTAGGTCACAGTGCTCTTTCTCTCCAACACCTTTCCAAGTAGTGAGAGATACTCAGCTTCGTTAAAGAACCTGCTGCCATTTTCCTTCTCATTTATTAAGCAGGCTGTCTTCTGAAAGCACAGTGGTTATGTAAAACAAAAGGAATAAAAATCTCCACACATTTTACACTCTCAAATTTACCGTGCCTACAGTCGTAAACTTTCTGACTGATGGTATAAAAATCTTTTTAAAGTTTAGTTACGATGCATGTTGTTTGAGAAACTGTGGACTTTTCTCTCAGTGCTCAGATGGCTATGATGAAGACAGCTGCTGGGGAGACTTGGCAGGTGTACAAACAAAGTTGGAGACGTACAGGTTTATCACTTCGAAGCTGCATACACCTACTGTTCTTCTCTACCAAAAGACAACAATTCCACTTTTTATAGGCAATTGTCTTTCCTTTTTTAGTCTCAGAGGCTCACCAAAATTCAATAAGTTTATTTTAGTGAAAACCACCTTGCTGCACTCAGCAACTTGCCTAAGCAAAGTTCCTTAAAATAAAATGAACAGGAGCCATTACTGTAGAGCGAACCAATCCAGAATGATCAGGAGCCCATTTCTTTCCAAATGCGCTCATTACTATTAATTTCCTCTGTCCTTAGAGAGTGTTTGAAAGGGCAAGTTCATCAGGAGAGTAAAAGACATGGAGAAGAAAGCCGGTAAAAGCATTTCTCCCCTTCAAAACTGCGTCCTTAGGAAAGCAATCCCAGAGGACGCGACTCTCAGTGGGACAGACTCTGAATAGATACTGGAGATGATGAGCTAGGCATGATTCTGGGCGCACAAGCAGATGTTCTGACACGGGAGTGAAACAGAAGCTAAGCGTTTGTAGACCCACCTTGGTAACCACGTACAACCCAAGAAGCCTCTGGTTTCCCTCCTTGGAACTCTGCAAAGAAGATCTGTAAGTGGAAAGAATATAATAAAGGCCAAAGCTAAAAATAAATGGTATCATTTAAAGAGTCGCTCTCTGCAGATCCAGTTCTCCCAGTGTCCCCTCAACACCCTAAGTAGAATTCCCACACGGCCGGAAGGCTACAACCACCTGGGGGGGAGCAAGGTTAATCATTTATTTATTACCTTCTCAAACTTCTCTTTCGAACTTCAGCTCCTCCGTTTAGCGGCAGTTTGGCATCGGACTTCTGCTGAACTTTAAGTGCATCCAGTTTGTATTGATGCAGTGGGGATACAAACAACTTTTAGGTTACAAGGGGTAAGCCAGCGTGCGCGTGCGCGTGCGCGTGCGCGCCCTTAGGGCAGTGCTTAGAATAAAGTCTAAGGGCCGGCGCTGTGGCTCATTTGCTTAATCCTCCGCTTGCAGCACCGGGGTGTAGTTCTGGTTGCTCCTCTTCCAGGCTAGCTCTCGGCTGTGGCCCGGGAGGGCAATGGAGGATGGCCTAAGTGCTTGGGCCCCTGCACCAGCATGGGAGACCAACAGGAAGCACCTGGCTCCTGGCTTGGGATCGCTCTGCGCAGGCCATAGCGGCCATTAGGGCAGTGAACCAACGGAAGGAAGACATTTCTCTCTGTCTCTCTCTCACTCTGCCTGTCAAATAAAAAGAAGAATAACGTCCGCACACCCCGTCTTCCCTTCCCCAGGCCCATTTCCCAAAGGAGGGTGTAGGGAGTCAAGCACAGACCTGCTCCTCTGCCTTTGAAAAGAGTAGCAGGTGCGGGTGAGGTTTGCAGCTGTGGAGGGTACACAGGTGCTTGCTTGAAGGAAGTAGCTCTTACTTTCTTGCAGGCTAAATTTTCCAGGCTTCCACAATAGATGAAGGTAGTAAATGTTCAGGTTTAAGGTCAGGATGAAGATCCAGGTAAACTATTTTGCTCGATTTAGTCTGAACCTTAAGGTAGAGAAGCAGAAAGAATCTTAGCTCAACCACAGTCCAGCCTGTTTTGAGAAAAGGAAAGACCACCAGGGATTTGGGGCTGTTTGCACTAGACTTTACTGTGTACCTTTTTTTGTAAGCCTGCAGTAACAGAAAAACACCAAAAATTGGGGATTTGGGTTTTCCTTATTGTCTGTGCAGGACACCTATAAATACTTAAACTGAGGGAAAAAAAAGGAAGAAAGAAAGAAAAAAGGAAAAAAAGAAAGGAATACCAACTATGGTAACTGAAATAAATGTTATGTCGTTAAAATATTTGCTAAACTAAAAATTTAGAACCCCCTAATTCTATACTCTGTCTCTCTCTCCCTCATCTATGTATCCATCTACCTAAATTCGAGTGATTTTGTTTGCCCAGCAGAGAAAATTGTCATCATGATCAAAATCTCTGCTACCATTTTTCTCCTGGTGAGTTCACTCAATGTGATGCCTGTACAAAAGCCAGACATCCAATGCTGGAATGCTGCTGATGAGCCTGTCTCTGAGTAATGCTGTCAGATATCTCATTTAAGAGCATAGGCAGGCACCGTGGCTCACTTGGCTAATCCTCCACCTGCAGCGCTGGCACTCCAGGTTCTAGTCCCGGTTGGGATGCCAGATTCTGCCCAGGTTGCTCCTCTTCCAAGCCAGCTCTCTCCTGTAGCCCAGGAAGGCAGTGGAGGATGGCCCAAATGCTTGGGCCCTGCACCCGCATGGGAGACCAGGAGGAAGCACCTGGCTCCTAGCTTTGGATTGGTGCAGCGCACCAGCCACAGCGGCAGCCATTGTGGGGGTGAACCAACGGAAAAGGAAGACCTTTCTCTCTAACTCTGCCTGAAAAAAAAAAAAAAAGAAAGAAAAAAAGAAAGAAAAAAAAGAGCAGAAACCTGCCTTTCAAAGAAGCACAGCTGCTACTCTTCATTAGCATTCAAGCTGTTAAAGGTAACAGGAATTGGAAAGTGAGAATGCACCATCTCATTTAAAAGCTAGGGATGTCTGAGTATTAAGTTAACCATGTCACCCTAATGACACATCAATATCCAAGTCCAAAGAAGACAAATCAGTTTAATATTTGACTTCTAGTGCTTGCCATTGTGGATCAAATGCCATTGTGGATCAATTATTTGTATCCCTAATATAATAAGATTTTCAAAGCCTTGTAAGTACTCTTATCAGAACAAAGATGGTTTGACCCGTGAAATGTTTATATGTTTACTTTCATTTTGGAAAGTCGAAACTTTCGAAATCACGGATCGTCTTTCCCTCGTCTCCCTGGCAGTGATCATGTTAGCAATAATATCAGATATGTTCAGCAGGAACTAAGAAGTTCCCATGCTGTAGTACTTGCTTCCCTCACCTCTGCAGCCTTCCTCTGGCGGAAACCATGAGGAAAACCTCGCAGAGAAATGTTTTGCTTCCGATCAACCAAAATACAGAGAGGTTTTGAATAACTGATTTGAAGCTCTTGGTCCGGATGCCCGAATGTGCTCTTTCACTGTGAAGCCCAGACAGAGTTAAGGAGCCAGCCCAGTGCTCTCCTTTCAGGCTCTTGGATTCTATCATTGTTTGGAAAATATCCCAACGGTAGCTAAAAACCCCTGCATTAAGGAAAAAGTCAGATTGCCTGTCTCGTAATCCAAACTCAATTTTTTTAAAGAAGACCGTACCTTATTTTCAGGACTCTAAACATTACTTGGATTTTTCTCCTTGAGCATCAAGTAAGGACCTCAACGGGACTCATTTCATTAAAAAAAGGTATTCAGACACCACTGTATGAATTATTTGTTAGTTCATTGCATTGTGTGCATTTTGTTTCTTTTATTTTCTCGAAAATGAATTCCAAGAGGCAGCCGTTGTTCTTCAGCTTTGAACAAAGTCCACCATGTAAGCAGGGTTTTTGCCTGACGCTCTGGGAAAATCACACTGCAGTCCAAATATTCTTTGTACCTGATGCCAACTGCAAATGCCCAGAAGTAAATGGAGGGAGAAAGATGAACAATACTGGGGAGCTGCACCATTTGACTATAATGGTTCAATATTAAATTATCACAGAAAAAGTAAGGAAAAATCAGTCTGGGTTGCAGAGCCAATAAATGAAGGAGAAGAAATGTATGGCACACTTGACTTACAAACCTATAAACGCAGATGAAGGTGAGAAATGCATCTTAATTCAATGTCCAGCAAGTCTCACACAGAGAAGACAAAGAACTGAAATATAACTTTGAGAAATGACACTTACCATTCTTATATGACTCCTGTTCTGGCATGTTTGAACATATTACACCCCATGCTATCTCATCCTGTCCTATTCGACACTGTTCTGCTGGTGTTAAGGCAACTTCTGTGCTTCCAATCTTCACCGCACCTGTTGCTGTGTATCCAGGCAGCAGGATTGGCCTCTGGTATCTGTTTCTTTCTGCTTGGGGCTTCTCAATCACCTCTACTTGAGACTAGATGAGAATACTCTCATTAGGTGCATAAAGGATGAAATAAATAACATGGTTTAGTGTAATCCTGGACTATTGGCAAATTGGAGCAACTGGACAAATACTCTTCCATGCACATGACTCATGATTGCTCAGTCATCCAGTGGATCCAACCTCAGAGACCCACAGAAATGGGCAGAACAACACACCTGTTCATTGCTTGTACCTTCTTCCCTCTCATGAATCCTAACCCACAACTGCTATTTCATGGATTCAAATCCCAAACAAACCATTTGTAACTATAGTTTAATCTCTATCTCTACTTTTAGGAGAAACCAAGCTAAAAGCTCCCTAGATCAAAAATAAGACACATTGTGAATAGATTTCATGATGCATCAATATTAACATGCACAGGTGAGTCCCAAGATGGCGGTGTAAGAATAGGAGCATCCGAGTCACATGAGACAAAATAGATAATTAAAAAGGAGAAAAGAAGGGCCGGCGCCATGGCACACTAGGTTAATCCTCCACCTACAGTGCCAGCAATCCATATGGGCACCAGGTTTTTGTCCCAGTTGCTCCTCTTCCAGTTCAGCTCTTTGCTGTGGCCCATGAAAGCACTGGAGGATGGCCCAGGTGTTTGGGCCCCTGCGCCCATATGGAAGACTAGGAAGAGGCACCTGGCTTCTGGCTTCGGGTCGGAATAGATTCAGGCAGTGCGGCCTTTTGGGGGGTGAGCCATCAGATGGAAGACCTTTCTCTCTGTCTCTTTATCTCACTGTCTGTAACTCTATCTGTCAAATAAATAAATAAATAATCTTTAAAAAAAGGAGAAAAGATACATGCTGGAGATAGAGCAGTGGGAAATTGGTGAAGAAAATCCCAAGAGACCAACAGAGACCAGGCAAGTCCACGCTGAAAGAGCAAATTAACAAAGGGAAGTAGTGAGCCAGCACCGCAGCTCACTAGGCTAATCCTCCATCTGCGGTAATGGCACCCCAGGTTCTAGTCCCGGTTGGGGTGCTGGATTCTGTTCCGGTTGCTCCTCTTCTAGTCCAGCTCTCTGCTGTAGCTTGGGAAGGTAGTGGAGGATGGTCCAGGTCCTTGGGCCCTGCACCCGCATGGGAGACCAGGAGGAAGCACCTGGCTCCTGGCTTCGGATAGGTGCAGCGCACTGGCCGCAATGCACCGTCCTAGCGGCCACTTGGGGGGTGAACCAATGGAAAAAGGAAGACCTTTCTCTCTCTCTCTCTCTCTCTCTCTAATTGTCTAACTCTGCCTGTCAAAAAGGAAAAAAAAGGGGGGGGGGAGTGGTGGAGGCATGGTGGAGGTGCGAACTGGAGAGGCTGACGCCAGCCCCCGCAGACCACATGAGATGGGAAATCTCAGGTCCACAGAGCTGCAAATAGCAATGGGAGGGAGCACTTGTTGAATTACTTTTCCAGTTCCATGCAGGAAAAATGGTACAGAGGAACAAACAGAGAAGTCAAGCACCCTCCTGCCCATCTCTCTCCCCCATCTCCCTGCAGCCAGCTGGGAGAAGCCATCTTGTCTGATTACATTTTCAAACGTAAGCAGCGGACTGCCACCTTTGCCTCCCATGCACACATCCATCACTGTTGGGGCCACCTCACCACCACCCCCAGCCAGGAGTGAGGATCACAACATTTCAGAAGAGTTTCTTCCCCACAACGCAAGCTGTACAACAAGAAAAAGCCCTGAATATCGAAAACTTGAGCCTGTTCCATCCACCATTGAGAAGCGAGCTGGGCTCTAGTAGGCAGGGCTCCGTGTATCCACTTGCAATGCACACACTGCAGCTCATAACAGAAGGAAACCTCACCACAAGAAAATCTCCACATATTAGAGGTGCAGTTTGTTAGGCAGGGTGATATAACCCTGAACACACCAGAGACCAACACCAGGGCATCCCCCAACTGTGAGGAAAAGGGCAGGTTACATCAACAGAAGTGAACAACCTCCTCTAACCACAAATCCAGGGGGAAGATAGAAAGACCCATGGGGGTCTTACACTGGATACTTCCTCCACCCTGGAATACTAAACAGAACACCCAGACCACATCAGCACACACCTTTTAGAACTCACCAAAAGTATAGATGTCTCACTAAATCACAAAGACACAACTTAAGAGAAAAGCAACCAGACAAAAAAAGAAAAGATAGGAACCAGCATTGTGGCACAGTAGGTTAATTCTCCACCTGCGACGCCAGCAACTGATATGAGCACCAATTCTAGTCCCAGTCGCTCCCCTTCCAATCAAGCTCTCTGCAATGGCGTGGGAAAGCGGTAGAAGATGGCCCAAGTCCTTGGGCCCCTGCACCCAAGTGGGAGACCCAGAATAAGTTCTGCATCTGCTTGGGAGGCCTGAAGAAGATCCTGGCTCCTGGCTTTGGATCAAACCAGTTCTGGCTGTTGCAGTTATCTGGGGAGTGAACCAGCAGATGGAAGACCTTTCTCTTAAGAATAAGAAGGACACTATGTACCTCCCAAAGGCACATTAAAACTTCAATGATAAAAGGTGAAGATGAAGATATCAGGGATATACCAGAAACAGAATTCAGAAAATTAATTGTCAGACTACTTAGAAGCAATCAGAAGCAAACTCATGATCTAAATGAAAAGTTCTCCCAAGAAAATGAGATATTAAAGAGAAGTCAGAATGAAATATTAGAAATGAAGAACTAAATAGATCAAATCAAAAATACAGTGGAAAGCCTTAACAACAGAATTTACAGGACAAGTTTCTGGAAGTAGTACAGTCAGACAAAAAAAAAAAAAAAAAAAAAAAAAAGAAGAAGAAATTAGAAAGCTAAGAAACACAGTTGGAGATTTACAAGTTATAATCAAATGACCCAACATATGGATCCTAGGAATTCCAGAAGGAGTGGAAAGAGAGAAAAGATTAGAAGGCCTTCTTAAGGAAATAATAACAGAAAACTTCCACAATCTGGAGAAAGAAAAAGACATCCAAGTACATGAAGTACACAGAACTCCTAATAGACATGACCAGAAAAGACCTTCATCATGACACATTGTAGTAAAACTCTTGAAAGTAACTTAAAGAAAAGATCATAAAATATGCATGTGACACACACCAAGTCACATTCAGAAGAAACCCAGACTCACTGTAGACTTCTCATCAAAACCCCTACAGGCAAGGAGAGAATGGCAAGGTATATTATTCCCAGTCTTAAGAGGAAAAAACTGTCAACCCAGAATGCTGTATCCTGCAAAGCTCTCATTTATGAATGAAGAAGAAATAAAGATCTTCCACAACAAACAGAAATTGAAAGAATTTGTAACTACTTGCCCAGCCCTACAAAAGATGCTCAAGGATGTGCTACACGCAGAAACAGAGAAACACGAACATCACTAGGAAAGAGGAATACAGAAAATGAACCAGTAAAGTACAAAGAAAACCCAAACTAAAAAATTCAGACTATTTTTGGAAACATGACAAGGCGAAGTTGGTACTTAAAAAGAGTCACTCGGAATGTAAATGGTCTCAACACCCCAGTTAAAAGGCATAGACTGGCTGAATGGATTAAAAAAGAAAACCTATATATGTGTTGTCTCCAAGAAATACATCTTACCAACACAGATGCATGCTGTCTGAAAGTGAAAGGATGGAAAAAGATAAACTATGCTAACAGAAACTGAAAAAGAGCTGGTGTGGCCATATTAATATCAAACAAAATAGACTTTAACACAAAAACTATTACAAGAAACAAAGAAAGACACTATGATTAAAGGATCAATTCAATAGGAAGATGATAACTATTATCAATGTATATGCAACTAATAACAGGGCACCTGGATATCTAAAAGAAATGCTAATGAATTGAAAGGGAGATATAGACTCAAATATAATAGTAACAGTGAACTTCAATACCCTACGTTCAGCAAGGGGCAGATCAACCAGACAGAAAATCAACAAGGAAACAACAGGGTTAATCAACACTATAGATCAAATAGACCTAACAGATATCTGCCTGCAGTGCCTTTCACCCTGCAGCAACAGAATAAACATTTTTCTCACTAGTGCATTGAAATTTCTCTAGGATAGGCCACAGGCCAGGCCATAAAGCAAGTCTCAGCAAAGTCAAAAAAATCTAAATCAGGCCAGCGCCATAGCTCACTAAACTAATCCTCGGCCTGTGGCGCCAGTACCCCAGGTTCTAGTTGGGGAGCCGGATTCTATCTCGGTTGCTCCTCTTCCAGTCCAGCTCTCTGCTGTGGCCCTAGAAGGCAGTGGAGGATGTCCCAAGTGCTTGGGCCCTGCACCCGCATGGGAGACCAGGAGGAAGCACCTGGCTTCTGGCTTTGGATCGGCGCAGCATGCCAGCCATAGTAGCCATTTGGGGGGTGAACCAATGGAAGGAAGACCTTTCTCTCTCTCTCTCTCTCTCTCTCTCTCTCTCTGTCTAACTCTGCCTGTCAAAAAATGAAAATAAAAAATAATAATTAAAAAAATTGAAATCATACCATGCATCTTCTTGGTCCACAATGCAATGAAGCTGAAAATCAGCAACTTGGGAAACGCTAGAACATACACAAACACATGGAGACTGAACAACATGCTCCTGAATGAACAGTGTGTCATTGAAGAAATCAAAAGAGAAGTCAAAAATTACAGAAGACAATACAATATATCAAAAATTATAGGATACAGCAAAAGCAGTGTTAAGAGGGAATTTTATAGCAATTGGTACCTACATTAAGAAATTGGAAAGGCATCAAATACATGAACTAGCAATTTACCTCAAGGATCTAGAAGAACAAGAGCAAACCAAACTCAAAATAGTAGGAGAAAAGAAATAATTAAAATTAGAGAAGAAATCAACAAAATTGAAATAAAAAATGACATAAGATCAGCAAAAAGAAGAGCCTTTTTTTGAAAAAATAAACAAAATTTACACACCATTGGCCCAACTGACCAAAAAAGGAAAGAGAAGACCCAAATCAATAGAATTAGATATAAAAAAGAAAATGTAACTATAGACACCACAGAAATAAGAAGAATCATCAGAAACTACTGCAAAGAGGGATATGCCAAAAAACTGGGAAACCTAAAAGAATGGATAAATTACTGGACACATACAACCTACCTAAATTGAGCCATGAAGACATAGAAAATTTAAACTGACCCAATTCAAAGACAGATATTGAATCAGTAATAAAGACCCTCCCAAAGAAGGGTCCAACAAAGAGTTACCTTTCTCTGAAGGGAGTAGAGAACTTCCACTTTGATTATGGCCTTATCTAAATAAGGTCAGAGTTTGTGAACTCAAGAGGCTTCCACAGCCTTGGCAGCTCATGACAAGAGACCTGAGTGATCACTGCCATCATAAATAAGAGTGGCAGTTGTTAAATCAACAACAGGAGTCACTGTGCACCTACTCCCATGTAGGAGCCTTGTGCATAATGTGGTGTACTATGCGAATTAATGGAAAAACGATTCTTCAAACAGTACTTTATACTTTGTGTGTCTGTGTGGGTGCAAACTGTTGAAATTTTTACCTAGTATATAGTTGATCTTCTGTATATAAAGATAATTAAAAATGAATCTTAAGAATGGGATGGGGGAGGGAGTAGGAGATGGGATGGTTTGTGGGTGGGAGGGTGGCTATGGGGGAAAAAACCGCTGTAATCCAAAAGTTGTACTTTCAAAACATATATTTATTAAATAAAAGTTTTTCCAAAAAATCCTAACAAAGAAAAGCCAAGGACCATATAGCTTCACTGCTGAATTCTACCAGACATTTAAAGAACTAACTCCAATCCTACTCAAGGATTGAAAATAATTGAATGGGAGGGAATCCACCTAAATTCTTGAAGCCAGCATCACCTTAATCCCCGAACCTAGAAAAGATGCAACAGAGAAAGAGAACTACAGACCAATTTTCCTGATGAACATAGACATAAAAATCCTCAACAAAATTCTGGCTAACCAAATCCAACAACACATCAGAAAGATCATTCACCTGGACCAAGTGGAATTTATGCCTGGTATGCAGGGATGGTTCAGCATTTGCAAATCAATCAATGTGATGCATCACATTAACAAGTTGAAGAACAAAAACCATATAATTATCACAATAGATGCAGAGAAAGCATTTGAAAAAATACAATACCCTTTCATGATGAAAACGCTAAGTACTCAAACAGTATTTTTCACTTTGTGTTTCTGTGTGGGTTCAAACTGTTGAAATCTTTACTTAATATATGCTAAACTGATCTTCCATATATAAAGAGAATTGAAAATGAATCTTGATGTGAATGGAAGGGGGGAGGGAGAGGGAAAGGGGAGGGTTGCGGGTGGGAGGGACGTTATGGGGGGGGGAAGCCATTGTAATCCATAAGCTGTACTTTGGAAATTTATATTCATTAAATAAAAGTTAAAAAAAAGAAAGCTTAAATACAAAGTGTAGAAAAATAGCAGATATTTTCAGCCCTACACTTTGCCATTAAAATGACTTATTCTGATGACTACCTTTTCAATAAATTTGCATATTCATTAAAAAATGAATTAAAGCAAAAATAAACTATTTTTAAATGTTTCCAATATATGTAAAATAGAAATTGTACAAATCATATCAAAGTATTAATGAGAGACCCTTATTTAGTTATTATTTAATAATTCTTCTGGAAGTGTATTATATGCTACATACAGTTTGTATTCTTTTTTTTTTTGACAGGCAGAGTGGACAGTGAGAGAGAGACAGAGAGAAAGGTCTTCCTTTGCCGTTGGTTCACCCTCCAATGGCCGCCGCGGCCAGTGTGCTGCAGCCGGCACACCGCACTGATCCGAAGCCAGGAGCCAGGTACTTATCCTGGTCTCCCATGGGGTGCAGGGCCCAAGCACTTGGGCCATCCTCCACTGCACTCCCTGGCCACAGCAGAGAGCTGGCCTGGAAGAGGGGCAACCGGGACAGAATCTGGCGCCCCGACCGGGACTAGAACCTGGTGTGCCGGCACCGCAAGGTGGAGGATTAGCCTAGTGAGCCGTGGCGCCAGCCCCACAGTTTGTATTCTAATACACATAATTTAAAAATCCATTGCTTTTCAAGCACCCATAGTCCATTTCTACTGTTATGCTTGCCGTGTATATTAACAAGAAGTCCTATTTCTGCATATACATTGCAACACTACTTTATTCTGATTTTGTACATTCTCTACTTTATTAATCTTTTCTTATTCATGTATCATTCTTTCATTCTTTTAAGAATTGTCAGTAAATTACTGTGTGTAGGAATGTATGAGGAATAACTACTAAATTAAGTAACTACTAGGGGCTTTTTCTATCAATGAATGATGGAAATATGGACTGGAAGAGGAGCAACCGGAACTAGAAACTGGTGCCCATATCAGATGCTGGCACCACAGGCAGAGGATTAACCAAATGAGCCACAGTGCCGACCCCTCAACACTGTAAAGATCTTGACAGAAACCCACCATATTTATATCAAGGCATTGATTCACAAAGAGTAATTGCCTACCAATGGGGATGTGTGATGTGTGTAGATCAGGTATCTAAACCCTACAGTCTATGGGTCTTACCCAACTGGGGATTTATATAAATAAAGCTTTATTACAATACCACCATGTCAATTCCTTTATGTATTGTCTGTGGGTGTTAATGCAAAACTAAGTAGTTGTAACAGAGACTGTATGTCCCCTAACAAGATAGTAACCTGGTTGTTGACAGAAAATATCTGTGGGTCCTTGGCTTATGTGGAACAGATTTCTGACCATAAATTAATTTTATTGCTTAGTAGTCTGTGAGTGTGTGTGAGATATATATGAAGGCATATATAATATTAAATATATAATTTAATAAATAATATTTATATATAATGATTTAATATATAATATTAAATATATAATATATATTATGTATCAATTTAATATTGATGAGATGAGCCTAAACAATGATATAAGGGATACAAAAGGTATGACAATTATGAAATCAGATTGATTGAGACACTAAACTTTCTGTTCAGTAAAATTCCTTAACTTCTCACAAGTTTCAAAGACTGGGAGTAGACAGCAGGGAAACCTTGAGATGATGATAAGAAAATGGAGATTTGTGTATGGACACAGGAATTCAAGGGTACTAAAACTGCCCACACAAGTGGGTAGATACACAAACACAACTACATACATACTGAAGGATACTCTTGGCAGTGAAAAGACAACAATATAGGAAAAAAAAAAAAAAAAAAAAAAGAAGAGGCCGGGCCATGGCTCACTTGGTTAATCCTCCACCTGCGGCACCAAAACCCCGGGTTCTAGTCCCGGTTGGGGTGCCAGAGTCTGTCCCGGTTGCTCCTCTTCCAGTCCAGCTCTCTGCTGTGCCCGGGAGTGCAGTGGAGGATGGCCCAGGTCCTTGGGCCCTGCACCCGTATGGGAGACCAGGAGGAGGCACCTGGCTCCTGGCTTCAGATCGGTGCAGTGCAGCGCACTGGCCATAGCAGCCACTTTGGGGGTGATCCAACAGAAAAAGGAAGACCTTTCTCTCTGTCTCTCTCTCTCTCTCTCACTGTCCACTATGCCTTTCAAAAAAAAAAAAAAAAAAAAAGACAGTGGTAGCTCATTCAGCATGCACGTGAATCACTTGCGGCTGTGGTGACAAAGCTGACTTTTAGTGTAAAGGGTCTCAGATGGCACTGAGGAGCTGCACTTCAGTGACATCAGTGCTTCTGGTCCGAGGACCACATTTGGAGAAGGGTGACACTGGTGTGCAAGAAGATCACTGGCACCGAGCTTTTTAGAAATTATTTAGGGGATGCGTTGTGGCAGAGCAGGTTATGCCCACCTGCCTCCACTTGCTACGATGACTGCATCCCACATCTGAGGGCAAGTTCAAGTTGCAGCTGTCCTGCTTCCAGTCTACCTCCTGGCTAATGTGCCTAGGAAGGCTACAGATGACAGCCCAAGGACCTGGGCGCTTACAACCCATGTGTGAGCCCCCGTGGAGCTCCTGGCTCCTGGCTTCTGT